AAAAGGAGGCATATGTAATACTCTTTGTAACACATTAAGCAATAAAACAATTAAATAAACAAACAAATAATTGTGGAATGAATAAATGGAGAAACAAACAAATGTTCCATCTTTCTCTCCTTTCTGTAGGAATCAAAGAAAAATACCAGAACCAAAGGAGAGAGAGTTCCTGCCCCACACAGTCATGGAGAAATGAGTATTTGCACCAAAAATTCATACAGCTGCTACTTCTACACAGATCTCAACCCAGGGGCTATGGATTCTTGAATTATGAGGTAGGTGAACAAATACATTTGATGGAGATCGGAGACTTATTTGGCCCAGGCCTGAGTACCCAGGAGGAGCCTCCCACTGTCGTGGTGCATGGAGTTGCTGGAATCGGGAAGTCAACCCTGGCCAGGCACGTGAGGGGAGCCTGGGAGGAAGGCTGGCTCTTCAGGGACCGCTTCAAGCAGAGCCTGGGAGGAAGGCTGGCTGTTCAGGGATCGCTTCAAGCATGTCTTCTACTTCAACTGCAGAGAGCTGGCCCAGTCTGAGACAGTGAGTCTCTCTGAGCTCATCACAAAAGACTGGGCGGCTCCTGATGCACCCATTGGGCAGATCCTGTCTCAGCCAGAGCAGCTGCTCTTCATTCTTGATAACTTAGATGAACCCAAATGGGACTTGAAGGAGCAGAGTTCTGAGTTCTGTCCACAATGGAGCCAGCAGCAGCAGGTGCACACACTGCTGAGCAGTTTGCTGAAGAAAACCTTACTTCCCACAGCTTCCCTGCTGATCACAGCTCGGATCACAGCTCTGGGACAACTCATTCCTTCTTTAAAGCATCCTCACTGGGTGGAGGTCCTGGGATTCTCCGAATCGGCCAGGAAGGAGTATTTCTACAAATATTTCACAGATGAGAGCCAAGCAATTAGAGCCTTTACCTCAGTTGAATCCAACCCGGCTCTCTTCACCATGTGTCTCATGCCTTTGGTGTCCTGGCTGGTCTGCACTTGCCTGAAAAAGCAGATGGAGCAGGAGCAACCACTCTCACTGACCTCCCAGACGACCACAGCCCTCTGTCTCCACTACTTTTTCCACGTTCTCCAGGTTCAGTCCCTTGGGACTAAGCTGAGAGACTTCTGCTCTCTGGCTGCTGAAGGCACCTGTCAAAGAAAGACTCTTTTCAGCCCCGAGAACTTCAGGAAACATGGGTTAGATGCTTCCATCATCTCCAGTCTCTTAAACATGGGTGTTCTTCGAGAGCACCCCACCCCTCGGAGCTACAGCTTCATTCACCTGTGCCTCCAGGAGTTCTTTGCAGCAATGTCCTATGCTTTAGGCGATAGAGTGTTGAAAAGCAGTCGCTTTAAAAACATCAAAATTAAAACAGACTTGACAGATGTATATGACAGGCGTGACCTGTTTGGGAAACCAATCATATGTTTCCTATTTGGTCTTTTGAGTGATCACGGGATGAGAGAGTTGGAGAGTATCTTCAAATGCAGCCTGTCTCGGAAGAGGCTTCGCTCTCTGCTGCTCTTGGCCCAGAGGGAAGTACATTTGAAGTATCTGAACCTACAGCCATATTCTTGGCATTTGCTGCACTGTTTTTATGAGATTCGGGATGAAAATTTTATAAAAAATATTTTCATTTTCAATGAAATGAGGATATGTGTCCAAACTGACATGGAGCTCCTGCTGTTCACTTTCTTCTTTATGTACTACCACTGCATTGAAAGGCTTAAACTGAATTTGGGTGGACAGCACAGACAAGCAGGAAGGACTTCTGGTGCATTTCTGTAAGTACTCCCCCTCTCTCCTTTCTCCAACTCCTTTGTTGGTATCACAGTCCTGGCCACTAGGGGCACTCTCACTAAGCCTGTCCCCAGGAGCTAAAGGACTGATGTGAACAGTGACTTCTAATAGCCAAATCTGACCCTCATTCTCTGTCCACCTAGGGTCCTCTGCAGCAGTATCTGACCATGTGACCTTCCCTCTCTGTTTCTGGGTAGCCCGCTGTGGCCTTGCCTTGCACTGCTGCTTCTTTTCCTGTCTCTGTAACAATGGCTACCTTCTCTCCTGGGTGCACTCCCCCCCGCCCCCACAAGCTGACGTCAGCTGTCCGCCACCCAGCCCACTGCCTCTGATTCTCCCTCACACATGCTTCCTTCATGCAACAGCTCACTCAGCTGCCTCAGGCACCCCCTGGATGGCTGTTGACTATGACATTGGTCCTAAGTTCTCCCCTGTCACCTCTGAATGTGTCTGTCTGAAAAGGAGTCTTTCTTTTTCTCTACAAAACCAGCTTCTCTGTTTGTTTCAATGATGCACTATTGCCCCAGGTACTCTGCTGGAACCCATCATCTGAGTATGACAGAGTAGATTTCTCAAATTACCCACCAGCAACACTGTTAACTTTCACATCCGGGTTCCCTACCTCAGTGGCAGCTTTGATCCTTTAGTACTTCGAGGTGCCATCTCCCCTTTAAATGATTCACTCCATAAATGTGTAGTAAGCACTGATTTTACACCAGCTCCGAAAGATCACAGATTAATAAAGCACAGCCCTGTCCACTACAGACTCAAATCTGGAAGAGAAGACAGATATCCATCCAATAACTAGAACAGCATGCAAAGTCCATGGCAAGAGAGGCATGGAAAAGGTGGAATCGTAGTTTAAGAATGGGGGGATCATAGGAGTGGACCTGATTAGTACAGTGTCTCAGATAAAGAAATGGTAGACTTGGGTATTTTATTTTCAGACTAGAGGCCCGGTGCATGAATTCATGCACAGGTGGGGTCCCTCAGCCTGACCTGTAGGGATCAGGCTGAAACAGGCTCTCCAGCATCCCCTGAGGGGTTCCAGATTGCAAGTGGGTGGTTCTCAGTTGACACACTCTGGACTTGGGCTCCCTCCTCTCTGGTTCCCAGTGTGACACCCAAGAACTGCAGCTGCCAAGTCACTGCAGCTAGGCAGCTCCTGCATTGCTCATCTGCCCTGGTGGTCAGTGTGTGTCATAGCTTCCATTTAGAGCATCTACCCTCTGGTGGTCAATGCGCGTCATAGCTACCTGTAGGACGTCCTCAAACTTTTTAAACATGGGGCCAGTTCACTGTCCCTCAGACCATTGGAGGGCCGGACTATAGTTTAAAAAAAACTATGAACAAATTCCTATGCACACTGCACATATCTTATTTTGAAGTAAAAAAACAAAACGGGAACAAATACAATATTTAAAATAAAGAACAAGTAAAGTTAAATCAACAGACTTACCAGTATTTCAATGAGAACTATGGGCCTGCTTTTGGCTATGGTCAATGTCCGGTTCCATATTTGTCACTGCTAGTCATAACAAGTGATGCAAGTGTGCATCAGTTAGTCTAGATCTGGTTGGAGATTTCAGATGTTTCATTCTGGAAAAAGGCTCTCCTAACTTCAAAAAAAAAGGGCTCTCCTAACTTCAAAAGAAAAAGTCCCTATTAACTGCAAAATAAAACAAAAATAGCCGAAACTGGTTTGGCTCAGTGGATGGAGCGTCGGCCTGCGGACTGAAAGGTCCCAGGTTCGATTCCGGTCAAGGGCATGTACCTTGGTTGCGGGCACGTCCCTGGTGGGGACTGTGCAGGAGGCAGCTGGTCGATGTTTCTCTCTCGTTGATGTTTCTGGCTCTCTATCTCTCTCCTTTCCTCTCTGTAAAAACTCAATGAAATATATTTTTTAAAAAAAACACAAAAAAAACAAAAATAGACCTCCTGACTTCAAAAAAATAAATCCTAACTTGTTCTTACCTCGTCACCCGAGACTGAGAGGAGGAGTCGAGAGACAGAGAGAAGGAGGGGAGTCAGAGAGTGCAGCACACATTCCACACGTGCGCACTGCGGGCCCGGGAGGAGTCCGCTGCTAAGCAACAGGCAGTGGCGGCAAAAACACCTGGCGGGCTGGATAAATGTTTTCCGCGGGCCACATGTGGCCCGCGGGCCATAGTTTGAGGACCCCTGGTCTAACGTTCTGAGGGTCGCTTAGGCTTACATATATATAGATTTAAAATTTTGTTTTTTTCTAATACAAAACTAATGTTCTTTGTAGAAAAATGAGGACATGTAAATAAGCAAAATTAATGCCAAACCATTTACATCACTCACAGGTGAGCATCATTATAAATTGAAGTATATATCCTTTAGTCTTATATTTATGCACAGTTTAGAGCAAAACTGAGCCACACTGTGCATTTTATTTCACAGTCAGCTTCATTTCTTTATTTTTATTTTAAATATATTTTTATTGATTTCAGAAAGGAAGAGAGAATAGAGAAAGAAACATCAATGATGATAAAGAATCATTTTTGGCTACCTCCTGCATGCCCCTTACTGGGATCAAGTCTGCAACCTGAGTATGTGCCCTTGACCGGAATTGAACCCGGGGCCCTTCAGTTTACAGGCTAATGATCTAGGCCAGGGGTGGGCAAACTTTTTGACTTGAGAGCCACAATGGGTTCTTAAACTGGACCGGAGGGCTGGAACAAAAGCATGGATGGAGTGTTTGTGTGAACTAATATAAATTCAAAGTAAACATCATTACATAAAAGGGTATGGTCTTTTTTTTTTTAGTTTTATTCATTTCAAATGGACCGGATCCGGCCCGCGGGCCGTAGTTTGCCCACGGCCCTTTATTTTTTATACTAGAGGCCCGGTGCATGAAATTCATGTACTGGGGTGTGGGGGTCCCTCAGTCCATCCTGCCCCCTGTCACAGTCCAGGAGCCCTCAGGGGATGTCCTACTCATGGTTGAAGCCCTCTCCCATGAGGAGCAGGCCTAAGCCACAGTCTGGCCACAGAAACTCGGAGCAGGAACCTCATCTGTGTGTGTGTGCGTGTGTCCAATGGGGCGTGGGCCAGCATGGCCAGGTCAGGCCCTGAGTAGTACCACTGCTTCTGCCACTGTCATTAGCGTCTGGAATGCAGGCATGGATTGAAAAGACTGAACCACACCCCAGGACTCTCTGAGCCTGAGTTTGTTCATCTGGGAGTTGAAGCGGGAGGGGCCAGGCCCCACACTCTAGGGCAGGTGTGGGCAAAACCAGCAAAATCTCTGACTCAAAATTCTTCTGTGTGCCAACCCTAATTTTTTGAGAACATGTTATGCCTACTTGATATCTCTTAAGGTGTACATATGTGAAGAACCTTGAAGAAATAATAAAATTCATTCAAGCAACAAAAACACAGTATATGATGATGAAAAATACATTTATTTTTTAATGTATACATGTACACTGATAGTCTGCCAGAAAACTTTTTTTATTTTCTATTTTCTTTATTTCATACTTTTATAAAATATCTTTATTGTTCAGATTATTACAGTTGTTTCTCTTTTTCCCCCCATAGCTCCCCTCCACTTGGTTCTCACCCCAACCTCTGCCCTCACCCCATTGTCCTCATCCATAGGTGCATGATTATTGTCCAGTCTCTTCCTGCATCACCCACACCCCTTTCCTCCCGCCCCCAAGAATAGTCAGTCCACTCCCTTTCTATGTCCCTGATTCTATTATAATCACCAGTTTAGTCTGTTCATCAGATTATTTATTCACTTGATTTTTAGATTCCCTTGTTGATAGATGTGTATTTGTTGTTCATAATTTGTATCTTTACTTTTTTCTTCTTCTTCCTCTTCTTAAAGGATACCTTTCAGCATTTCATATAATACTGGTTTGGTGGTGATGAACTAAGAGGAATC